GCTGTTTCAAGCCACCCAGTTTGTGGTATTTGTTATGGCAGCCCCAGGAGTTAATATACCATCTGACAGGCTCTATTTTTAAATTGTGTGGTTTATCATCTGTCTCACCTCACAAGAAAGCAGGCAGCACAGGGGCAGGGAATTCCACCAGTTTCGTTCCCTTGGTGCCTAGAGCAGTGCCTGGCACGCAGTACAAGCTTTACAAGCAGTGGCGGCTGGATGAGGGGTGAAAGGTTGGAGCCTAGCACTCTTCCACGGCCACTGAAGACTCGGTGCCTGGCAGAAGGGTGGGCACAGCATCCTCAATGGCCCAGAAGACTAGAGATGGTGGAGCACGTGAGGGACAGTAGTGAGATGCAGGAGCAGGGACTCAAGAGGGCAGCAGTTTAGGGGCCACAAGAAGACGCCATCCTACGAACAGTGGACACCACATTGAGAGAGTGTGAAACAGGGACCGGATAGTGTGGCCAGATAGAACGCTCCTCTGCTAAACACGACTCTGACAGCAGTGTGGAGGATGGGTGGGCTGAGAAGCCCCAAGGGACACAGGGACCAGGTGCAAGGCGAGGTGGCGGCCGGGGACATGAAACGAAGCTTTCCATCAGGCAGAAGGGACCATATTTGGTGACGCACTGGCTGTGGAGGGGAATCCGGGACAGCTGCTGGGGTGGAGAAACCATCCTCTAAGATGCAGAACCTGCCAGGGAGATGGCTCCCGAGGGAAGAACCTGGCTGTGGGTGTGCTCTGGCACCTTCCACAGTCCTTCTCTGTCCGCACTAGCCTCTTGGTGTCCCCTCAGACACACCAGGCTCATTCCCACCCCAGTAACTTCCCACCCCTCTGGCAGGAACACTGTGCCCCAGATCTTCCCTGGCTGGAGTCACCTCACAGGTCAGGTCTCAGCTCAAGTGTCACCTCCTTGGAGAGGCTTTCCCTGGCCACCTTCATGAAAGTCCCCCACAGGTCTCCATCCCGTCACCCTGCTGTCTTTCCATTGCAGCACACTCACTCTCTGCAGGCACGTCATGCATTTGCTCACAGGTGCACGGAAGAGCCCTTCCCACCAGCAAGTACGTGAGCTCTCTGTCCCGTGTACAACACGGTCTCCAGTGCCTGGGACAGTAGCTGCTCAAAAATATCTGTAGAATGGGTGGCAAGATTAACGTGGCCTTCAGGGGCCAGGTTAGGCTGGGGCTGCTGATTTCAGAGCCATGGGCAGAGAGATGCCAATTTCCATGCAGGGGAAGGGCAGGGAGCCCAGGGGAAGATCTAGGAGAGAGCCTGGAGGAACTTGGTTTTGAGAGAGGAAAGAGGAAACCCTGGTGCAGGACTCTCAAGGAGAGAGGGGAGATGCCCCAAAGGCAGGCCTAGGAACTGAGGGAGCCTGGATTCGACCCAGCAGGCGCTCCAGAGCCCCAGTGTCCAGACACTAAGCTGGCCTTCATCTTGTTTGAGTGTTGCCAAGTGGGCATGATCACTATCTCATTTTCCTAAGGATGAAGAGGATTTAACTCACACGGCAAGTAGCAGACCCAGGGGGAAGCCCCAGCAGTGTTCTTCTGGAGCCCACAGTCTCATCCTCTCCTGTTGATGGCACCGATCTTCTTTGGGAACTGCCACAGGAGGAGGAGAGCTGTGAGAAGGGGCCAGCCACAGCAGACGTGGCCGGGAGAGCAGCCTCTGGAGCAACCACCCAGGGGATCTGAAGACCTGGCCATCAGCTTAGCTGGGGTGGAGGCCAGGATGAAGAGGATGGAGACATAAACAGCAGGCAAGGAAGTGGGGACGGCAAGCGTGGGTAACTCTTTGGAGAAGTTTGGCTGTAAAGACAAGTGAGACATAGGATAGTAACCGGAGGCGGCAGTGGGTGCAAAGAGCGCTATTTTAAGGTGGCAGAAACCGGAGTGTGCTTGGACGCGACAGCCAACAGGGGAGCAACTGAAGAATTGAGTTAAGGAGGAAGCGGGGCGGCTCAGCACCGGGGTGGAGGGGCTGCAGAGGCGGAGGCCCAGCCCTCCTCTGCCCACTTATTTTCCGTGGGAAGTAGGAGGAGGAGAGGGCACCTGAGCAGAGTTGGGAGGTGGGAGGGTCAGGTTTGAAAGAGTGGGGAAGGCTTGCAGTCATGCAGCAGGGGAGACAGCTGGCTGCAGCGAGGGCCAGGCAGTGGGACCCAGTGACCATTCTCAGTGCCATCAGTCTGCTCAAGGGTGTGATACTCTTTGGGGGCACCCAGCAGCCTAGGTAAAAGTTCAAAGGATAGAGAGTTGCAGTCATCCAGGGAGGAGGTTTCACCGGGACGGTTCTGTGGATGGAGTGAAGTTAGGACATGGGCAAGAGAGTGACTGAGGTAATGCACCAGGCAATCTACACTGGAAGTGGGGCAGCTGGGAAGGGGCTGAGGGTCAGGGAGGAAGCAGAGGTAAAACAGGTCAAGGGACCAGAGTGACAATGTCAGAGTGAGCAGGTTGAAAGAGTAGAAGGCGTGACCATAAAGCACAGCCTCTCAAGGAGGGATCTCAGAGGGGCCACAGCTCTGAGCCAGGGCAGGTGAACACCCAGAGGAGTGGTGGGTGTGGGGATGCGGCTGCAGCCTTGGCCTCTTGGCAGGACTCACAGAAGCCTCGCGGAAGTCAGCTGCGGCTGGGAAGGGCAGCCTGGCAGCTGTGGAGCAGGATGAAGATCCTTTTTGTGTGTTTGTTTTATTTTTTTATTGTCTTATTATGCCTAGGTGAGACAAGTGCCTGGGAAAGCATTCACACAGCATGAAGGAGTATATTCTAATAAGTCTGTTCCTCACCCTGCAGTGGGCTTGCAGACCAGAGGCAACTGCACCACCATCTTCCTCTGTGTGGAGCGTTTTTCAGAGCCTGAGGGGTAGTGCTGGGAGCAGCTCAGCTGGGCGGAAGGCTTCCCCACTTCTTCCTTCCAAGGTTCCAGGCTTCAGGTCCCCTCCCAGCACCCCAGAACTGCTCAGGGTACGGAGGCCCCTGGCCAACCCCTCAGTTTCCAAAATCCTCTCTTCCTCAACTGCCAAGAGAGTCTACTCCTCGGGCTCCCTCCCCTATCCCTGAGCACTCCTTGTCTGCCCCTGCCTTTAAGTGGTGGTCCACCAGGGCTGCGTCTTCCATCCCCTGCCTCCTCGCCTCATTCTGATGCATTCCTGCAGCTTCACTTTCCACCTCCAGCAGCATCAGGGCTCAGAACTCTCTCTGCTGAATTCCAGTCCTATACACTCACTGTCCACCTGACAGCTCCCCTCCAATTCAAGGAGCCACAGCTGAGCTCGTCTGCTGCCCGTCTGCCCATGGCCCCATCGGCAGCGGACATGAGGTATCTCATGGCCACCCAGCATCTGTCCACCCCAGGATGGAACAGGCCCAGATTTGGTGCACAGACAGCCCCCTCTGCTTTGGACCCTGCAGTCTGTGGTGTTCCCTCCACCTCTACCCCAACCCAAGTACAGCATGTTACCAAAGTCTAGAACATTCCATACTCTCAGCGTAGTACTGTTTCAGGGTTAGCACAGAGTCAAACAGGTCCAATAGCAGCAAACCCTGGGGTTTGGCCCGAGTGACGTGGGAGAAGACCTCCCTTTTTCCTGATAGGTTTGAACCTGAGAGGCTTCAAGCCAACGCCCTGCCTCACGTGGAGGTCAGGAACACACACCATCAACACTCGCAGTCCATTTTCTTGGTGTCAGGTATGTGCCAAGCACCCTACATATGTGGATCTCACTTTATCCTAACAAAACATGGCACCAGCTAGGCCCTATTTTTCCCCAACCTAAAGAGGAGGGAATTGAGCCACAGAGAGGTTCAGGGCCTTGTCAGGCCATGCAGCTAATAACTGCAGTGCCAGAATTCAAATCCAGACCACGTGACTCCAGAGTCCTTGCTCTCAACCACCAGACTCTACTGCCAGAAGCCGACACAGGCAAGCAGAGCTATAGGAAGAGGGGAAACTGAGGCCTGCTTCCACCATGGAGCCCTGAATCATGCTGGGTCTGCGTCCAGAACCACCCCTAGACTTTTCAGTTACATGGGCCAATATACTCCCTTCTGCCTGAGCCAAATATAGTTTGGGTTTTCTATAAATTCAGACCAAAAAAGTTCTAACCGATAACACATCCTCTCAGTGGGTGGCACCATCGCACACACAGTATTCAGGCCAGAAACCAGAACATCGTCCTCCCCTCCTCCCTCTCCCTCATCCCTCACATCCAACCAGTGACCAAAGCTGGTGTCCCAGCCCTGGCCCTCTTCTTACCCCTGGTCCAGGCGACTACATCATTTTTTTCTGGGTTTTGACAACAGCCTCCTTGCCTCCTTTCTACTTCTAGCCACCACAAACTTACCGCCAAGTTCTTTAAGATCCAGATCTTAACGTGTCACTTCCCGCATGAAACCCTTCAGACACCTCATTGCTCCTGGGGTAAGCTCCAACTCCTGCCCAGGCTGGCCCTACCCACCACCCTGTTCACACCTCCCTCACCCGCCAGCCCCCCGCTTCCGAAGCTTGCTGTTCACACCTCCAAATCTCTGCCTGAAATGCTCTTGCCCCCTTCTTGCCAGGCGAATGCCCAATGGTGATGCCACCTCCTCGGTGAGCTGTGCTTTGCTAATCCCAGCAGAGTTCTCACTCTCTGCTCTCGGCCCTTGTCACTCTGGGCTCTTTTCATTGTCTATTTTAACTTCAGTTTTGTGAGCAGCACTCTTTACCGGACTGTGAGCTCTTCAGCGGCAGGGGCTCTTTTTTTTTTTTTTTTTTTTTTTTTGCGTTTTTGTTTTTGTCGTTGTTGTTGTTTTGCGATGGAGTCTTGCTCTGTCACCCAGGCTGGAGTTCAGCGGCAGGATCTCGGTTCACTGCAACCTCTGCCTCCTGGATTCAAGCAATTCTCCCCATTATAGGCACGCACCACCACACCCAACTAATTTTTGTATTTTTAGTAGAGACGGGGTTTCACCATGTTGGTCAGGCTGGTCTCAAACTCCTGACCTCATGATCCACCCACCTCGGCCTCCCACAGTGTTGGGATTACAGGTGTGAGCCATCGCGCCCAGCCCTGTCTTGTTTATTTCCTCATCCACACGTCCCAGAGTATGCCTGGCACAGAGCAGTCACTCAGTAAATACTCATGGAAAAGAGAATAAAACGAGTGTTCCCAGGAATAGAGGGCTGGTTCTATACCTCTTCTCTCCTCTCCTCTTCTCTTCTTCTCCTCTCTAGGGATGGTCAGGTTCAGGGAAAATAATTATGCCACAGGATGATTACTAGGCAGAAAGACTTTTTTCAATAAATAAGCATGTTACCAATTTGATCAATGACAAACCTATGATATTGTCACCTACATTTTATAAACAAAGAGACTGAGGTTTAGGAAGGCTTTGCAATCTAGAATTCCATGCACATGCTCACGAAACCCACTCTCATCTCAAAGCCAAGGCTCAGGCTGAACTCTGATGAGACAGACCCCAACAGTGACTGGTTGAATGAAGCGGTGCTCTTGCCCACACCGGCCACAGGGCGGCAGCCGAGTGCTGGCGTGAGGGTGGCTTTCTGCCTCACTTCACACCCACCCTGGGAAGATGTGGATCTGAGGGTGCAAGGGGAAAAGCCACCACCGAGGAGAGGCCAGGGGACGGGGGCTGGGGTTGCTATATCTGCTAGAAACAGGTAAAACTGGAGGAGAGTTGGGGAACAAACCATTAATTCCTAGAGTCAAGGGCTGGAGACATAGACTGTAGACCTGAAGCTTGCATTACCAGCATATGTAATAACAGGCCACAGAAAGTGATGCAGCATTCCTGGATTGTGGGGGCACTGCAGGCCTGCAAATGGGAGGCACTGACTTGCAGCAGGGGCTGGTCACTGTCAGACCATTGCTGCCTCACACCAGACAGGACAGGTGCTGCACTCATGTCCTCAGAGGCCAGAAGGCAGGGGGCACAGCCAGCACCTGCTGCACCAGGCGTCCAGGATGTGTGACCACTTCAGTGCCCAGGACATGCAGCAGGTCCCAAGCGGGCTGGGAGTGCAGGTCTCCCAAGTCTAGGCCCACACCGAGCACTTCCGGAGGTCCAGTGGAGCAGTTCAGAGGCAGCGGCTGGGTGCAAGGATCCCAGGTTGAGGTCTCACCATAAGCCAGGTATCTCCCAGTCTTTCATCTGCAGCAAGAATGGGCTGAAGGTGGCAGGGGACCCCCAGAGCGGCAGCAGGAGAGCTCTCTGGTTGGCAGATGATGCAGGGCTCAGGAATCTGTAGAGAGAGCCACCCCTGTCTTTGTTGGAGAGGGAGCTGCACTATGTGGAGCCTGAGGAATGGACTCCATAAACCTCTCACAGCCTTTCCCAGCTTAGGGAAAATCTCAGGGGCTGGAAGGTTAGGGCAAGATCTGAACCCATCAATCGCTCCAGCCCTTCCCCTATGGACAGTGCAGGCTAAGTGAGCTGGCTAGGAGTCCAGGTGCCTGGCTTCTCTCCCTGGCACTCAGACCTGCACCCATCCCCCACCTCTCACTGCCAGCTGGAGCCTGATGGGGTAACAGCAGCACCTACTTCCCAATTTTCCACATTTTTTCCTGCCCACTCAGCCTGACAGCCTTGACCAGGGTCAGAGTTCCACGGCAAACATCTCAGTCCTTTCCCGTAGGAACACTGAGGTCCCAGGCACACCCCACGCCCTGCCCTCCAAGCACTAGGCTCAGAAACAGCAACAGGAGGAAGTTGGATGAAGAAAGCCTTTGCCCCCACCTCTACACCCCTGCCCCAGCCCTGTCCTGGGTGTGAGCAGACACGATGATGCTGGGGGCACAGCCCTTCCTAACACCAAATCACTCTACACCCTCACACCACGGGAACTTGAGCCCAAAGGCCAAACGGAAGGTCATCAGCCTTCGGCCCTGATCCCTCAGCTCTGACCGCTGGGATTTTTTTTCCACGGATGTTTATTCCAGCTGACCCTCTAAGCCCATCCCCCATCAGGTTCAGGCCAGGAAAGCCGAGCCCAGCTGGCTAGGAGCTGCTGCCGGCATCTGGAAGACTGCTCCCCACAGCAAGAAGGTAGGCAGGGCCCCAGGGAAGCAGGATGGGAAGGGGGCAGTGACACAGGGGTTTGGAGGTCCATCCCTGATTCGCAAATGTATGAAGAGAGGCCGCGTTTTGCACCAGCATCTCAAGAGTGATGAGAAAGCAGGGAAGGGAAGAGGACAGAGCAAGAGGGGCCCCCAAGCGCCAGAATGGGGCTTGAACTTGGAATCAGGGCCAGGGTCTGCTTCCAGCTCTGTCATTAATGTGAGCATGTCACTTACTGTTCTCTGAGCTTCCCCACGTATAAAAGGAAGGGGTTCCCAGTGATCTGGAGACCCTCTCTCCCAGCTGGGAAAGGAGAGGAGTGTGGGGCCAGAGGGTGACAGGCAAGGCAGCTGGGTGAAACCGGGTATAATCAAGAGAGGAAGTTCCCACCCTCTCCCCCACCAAAGGGAGCGGGGGATGTCCCCTGGGCCCAACCCCCTGCTTGTGCCAGGTGCAGTAACAGACACACCACACACACCCCTCAGGGCGCTGGACAACCCTCCCTCCTAGGGGGCAGGGTAGGGGATAGGAGGGGACCCTGAGGTGAGAAGTCCCTGGCTCAGCAAGGCCAGTGTGGCGCCGCTGCCCAGGATTAGCGCCAAATCCTGGGCTGCTGAGTAGGGATCACACATCGTCGTCAGCTTCGCAGCTGCTTAGCTGCACCTGCCCGCATCCTCCCTCTGCCCCTCACAGGCACCCAGCCTGACTCCTTTCTCGGATGGAAACTGGGACCCTGCCCTACCCCAGATAAGCAGGGCAGGGGCTCCAGAATCGGGGAGGGGGCAAGAGAGGCCAAAGTCACCCCTGACAAACAAACACTTCCACCCACAGAAACCCCCAGGGGCTCCTAGGTGCAAAGCTGAACAGAGGGAAGGAACAGAGAAGGCCTCTCCAGTCCCTGTGGCTGTCCCAGGTGGCTTTCACCTGTAGTTACCTTGTCCTCAGGCCACCCAGGCCCTTCCCTCCAGATGGCTCCTGTCCTTGGAAAGACAGAGCGAGACACCCAGACAGAGCCCCCACAGCTGGGAGTCCTCAGCCCTACTTCCTGGAGCAGCGCTCCTGAGGCCCCCCAGCTGTCAGGAACCCTGCCATCCACACCCCCAAACACACACCACACAAAGCTCCTTTGTCTGGGCTACATCTACTCCCCCACCCCTCACCCCCTCACCCCCGCCCCCACGGCCTGAGCAGGGTCCAGGGAAGGGCCTTCCACACACCTCCCCATTCCCCAGGGCCACCCAGGCCCCTGGCTCTGCCCTCAAACATGACCACACTCCTCTCCCTGTCTCAAGAGGGAGGCCAGGCAAGGAATTTCCCACAAGCCCCCTTCCAGGGAAAAGGTTTCAGGCAGCTGAGGCCAAAGGCTGGTGCTGTCTGCCTATCTCCTCAGCCCCGTGGAGTGGGCAGTGCTGGGGCCCGCAGAGTTGGGCCTAGGACCTATAGGGGCCGGGGCAGATGCAGACCGTGGGGTTGAGGGTGGGGGCTAAGGAAGAAGCCCCCAAAGCACACTGTGGCCTCTAGACTCCCTCCTCTGTCATCCTCCTGCCTCCACAACTACCCCACAGTTACACAGCAGCCTCTGTTCCTAGAAAAAAAGCTTAATGCTGGAACATTTAAGATGGGAGGGGGCCGGAGCTGCAGGAGACACAATCCCGGGCGGGGCGGCCTCCTCCTGATTCCGCACACCTGGGTGGCTGCAGTGGACTTACAGAGCTGGGAACTGGAGTCGCTGAAGAGCCATTCCCCAGACAGGTGCCCTGCTGCGCCCCAAGAAGCCTCCTCAGTAAGGAAGCTACTGTAGCCCCCCGGACCCCCACGCCCACACTCCCGCTACCCTCCCTCTCACCTGTGTGGGGCGCGCCGCTTCGGGTAAGGGATTGCGACCGCAGCAGCCGCAGCAGCCGTCGGGCATGCTCCGGACCGCTGGGAGTCAGGGGCCGCCTGGAGGCCGCGACCTCCGAGCGCAGCTGGGCGCCTAGGAGTCGTCGTTGTCGTCGCCGTCCTCTCCGCTGGCACTGCCGGGCTCCGGCTCGCGGGACGCGCGCTGCTCGCGGGCCAGCAGCGCTGTCAGGCCCTGGGCGCGGAGGAGGAGGCCGCCGCCCAGGAACAGGACCCCGCAAAGCACCAGCAGGGACAGCACGCCGAGCACCGCCGCCTGCACCGCGAGCGGCCCCTCGGGAGGCTCTGGCGGCGACCCCGACTGGTTACAGCAGGAGCTCAGCCAGGCGGCCTGAGCCGCCGCGCCCGCCTGAGAGCCGTTCATGCTCCAGCGCCGGCTGCCCAGATGTGGCGGGATCGCCAGATGTGCGGGAGCCCAGACTGGCGGGCGGGCCGGAGGCTGCGTCGGGGGGAGGGAACCAAGGGGCGGACCCCAGGCGCCCTACGCCCCTACCCCTTGCACAGAGCGCTCAGGCACTTCCTAGACAAAGAGCTCCAGCCGTTGTGGCTACGGCCCTTTCTCCACAGGCCCAGGCTCTGGGCCCACCATATTTCTTCTCATCCCCAAGGCCCACAGGCACCCCCATGCGAGTCCAGTCAGCCAAAACCAGAAGCCATGTCCCCAAGAGTCCCTCCCCTTCGCAAAGTGGGCCAAGAGGTACACCTAGGCAGAGCCCTGAGAAGATCTCAGACCCCATCCCAGCTGCAGGCTGGGGTGCTGCCCCTCTGAGCAGGACACAAGACAAAGGTGATTGTCCCCATTCTTGAGTTTTTTGTCCCGAGACCAAAGTTCTATGGTGCTAGGGGGCCCAGGTGGCTGCTGAGCCAGGAGGCACATGGGCAGCCATAAGAGTGAGTCCCACCCTTCCTCGTCCATCATCCCCTTCAGAAGCCTCCTGGAGCTGGACAAGCAGGCCAACGCCTCCTGCACACTCTACAGCAGGGGGACATTCAGGTACAGCAGAGCAGAGCAGAGCATGGGGAATTCAAGGCCCACCTCCACTCCTTTTCTCAGGCCCCATAGGCCAAGGAGAGTCACATTTACAGACCAATGGGAGAGCACAGATTTGATCCACCAGGACTCCAGTCCTGACTCTGGATAAATCAGTCCCCCACTTCAGAAAATCGCAATGCCATAAAGGAGGGGAATATTACTGTCCTGTCTACCAGGGTGGCCCATTGCCAGCTAGGTGTCCCACAGCCAAGCCAGGGTGGGAGAGTGAAGCAGAGTTCAGCTGCAGAAAAGCAGAGAGACTGGAAAAGCGGACAGAGAAGCAAGACCCTCCTGCCAGGTCTGTAGCTGGACCTGTAGCAATTCTTGTACAATTCTGTTGCAAATTCTGTAGCAAGCCTTGAGTCCTCTTTTAAAAAATAAAGTCACTGCCAGCCAACACCTGTACCAGTCCCCTCAGAAGGGATTAGATTAGCTGATGGCCGTCTGGTAGGAAAACAAGAAGAGTCCCCAGACTGCAGCAGGCCAAGTGGGGTGTCATATGCTATCAAGGACTTGCTAGAAATTGGCCTTCTTCAACTATAAACCCTTCTCCTGAGTCCTCCAACTCTCTGATGACCCAGAGATCAAGAGTAGAAACATCACATGGCCAAAGGTAACTTGGAATGGGAAAAGCGCATTCCAAGTGCAAACACTTCCTGGTCATCCTGACTACCTACACTGCTCCAGGACCATGGACAAGATACCCCACTCCCACCCCATTTCTCCCTTAGCATCCCTCTCTACACACACCTCATTTAGTCTGGTTAGAACTGGCCCAGAAGCAGCCAAAAAGCATTGTAAAGCATGGACTGTATCGACGAGAGCATAGCACACAATGGGGGCTTGAGTATGCGGGTGTAGAAATGAATGTGAGTGATGGAGGCAATGACCAGCCCAAGCTGGAAGAAGTGTCACCAGATACCAGACTGTCTCAAGTTGGCCAATCTGTCTCCAGACATGACCCACATCAAATGACCTTTCTGGTGCACGTGGGGATCTGTGTGCTCTATAAAGACAGAGAAGGTACTCTCTGGGGCCACGGTGAAGCAAGACCAGACAACATAAAGGCCAGGGATGTCATAGCTTCCTTAGAAAAGGTGGAGATAACACGGGAACAGAAAACCAACATGTTCTCACTTGTAAGTGGGAGCTACATGACGAGAACACATGGACACACAGAGGGGAACAACGCACACTGGGGCTTTCTGGAGGGTAGGAAGAGGGAGAAGATCAGAAAAATAACTAATGGGTACCAGGCTTAATACCTTGGTGACAAAATAATCTGCAAAACAAAAGTTTACAAAAAAAAAAAGAGGAAAGTGAGTTTGGAAGTGTTGAAATAGGGAGTCAATTGGTGGGGGGGAAAGGGAGGAGCAGCTCAGTCACATCCAAAAGCAACAGACCCTCACCCTACCATGCACCTTCATTCATGGGATTGGCTATGGCCACATCTGGGTAACACCTGCTTTGTGTGAATAGCCAGTCAAGTGCAAAATCTGTCCATTTTAATACATCTTTAATCCCATCCACCCACCCCTCTCATCTTGGAGCAATGCCCTCCACACACACCTGTGTCCTCAGAGGAATGCCAGAAAGTGTTAACACATCAGGGCAGAAACAAGAAAAGGGAGAGATGGTTCAGCCCAAACTCACGTTCTCAACTTTATTCCCCATCCCAGTGGTGGCTCTTCTGTACAGTGGAGAAAGAAGGGGGACCACACCAGGGCTATGGAGAGACAGTACAGGCAGGACTGAACCGTCAGCAAAGATTAAAAGGATGACCAGAGGCTGGCAACCACAAAACCAAGAAGCCAACGGGGGCTGCCCCTTCCAAGTCTCACCAACGACCCCAAGCAGGCAGCAGAGCCAAAGGCCCAATAGTACAATCCCCGAAAGCCAAGGTCTGGGAGCCATCAAGGAGCTCCCAGGGATCCAGCGAGGCTCAGAGGGCAAGGGTGTCTTTGATGAGCCTGCGCATAGTGGTGGTGACTGAGGTGCCCAGGGCATCAGTGATCTGGAAGGAGATCTTGTAGAGGTAGGGCTGCACGTCCCGCAAGCCTGTGTCAAACACGTTATCCACCTCCGACTGTGTGGGCATCTTGGGCAAGTACTCATGCCGATTCATCACCTCCACGATGTTGATGATCTTCTCGCAGAGTTTCTCACCCACCTTCTCCCGGCAGATCTGCCGCTCCTGCTCCGTGGCCAGGGCTACCACATGTACCTTGACCGTCCACACTTCCCATGGAATGCACTCGTCTGAGAAAGGCCAGCGAGACTTCTTCTTCTGGTAGAACTCCAAGGACATCTGCCCCAGCCCATCACCACCAGAGTTGCGCAGCGCATCCTGGGGAAGAAGAGAATGAATGAGCATGCCAAGGCCTCTGAGTTCCCACCTGTGAGGGCCTGCTTCCCACACCCCAGGGAATTATGCTCTCTTAGCTCTAGTAATCATCCAGGGATGGCAAGGAAACAAGACTGGGAGAGGGTAAACGATTTGGGTGAAGTGACACAGCAAACTGCCAACCTGAAATTGTGTAGTTCAAGCAAACCAACAAAATCTGTCTCCAAGCCCAATTCCTCCAGCTTGGTGAAGAACTGATATTACAGGAATAACTACTGGTCTGCAGGCACATATTCTGTGCCAGGAACTTAACATACACAATTCCACTGGCTCCTCCCAACAACCCCATGAGCTTTCACCAAGGCACGATGAGGCTTAGAGAAGTAAGGTAACTTGCAAGAGTCACATGCCTGTGGATGGCTGGACCAGGGTTTGCATCTGGATTGTCTGATTTCTAAATCCTTGCTTTTCACCTTTACATTGCATTAAGGGCCTTCTCCTTCCACACCACTCCTTTAGCCCATATCCTTCAAAATGTTCTAATCACCTCATCAACATCTCCCTCTTCCCCTGTAAGCTATTTGTCTTCTCCACTGCCAATTAAACATAATTCTTTCGATATTTTTTAAAGAGACTGGGTCTTACTCTGTCACCCAGGCTGGAGGGCAGTGGAGCAATCATGGCTCACTGCAGCCTCGGAATCCTGGGCTCAAGCGATCCTCCCATGTTAGCCTCCTGAGTAGCTGATACTACAGGCACATTTGGCTAATTTTTAATTTTTTTTATTTTGTTAGAGATGGGGCATGTTACATTATCCAGGCTGGTCTCAAACTCCTGGGCTCAAGCAATCCTCCTGCCTCAGCCTCCCAAAGTGCTGGGATTACAGTTGCAAGCCACTGCGCCCAGTTCACAGTCTCTTTTATGAGCGCAGGAAGAGGGAACTGTAGAGCCCAGTGATCCTTGCTCAAAAAGAGGGAAACCAAGCAACAGAATGGGGAAGGGAAGTTGAAGAACAGACCAGACCTGGTGCTTCTCCCTCTTCTTCCCTGAGAAGCAAACAGGACCATCCAGTCCAATGATTCTGCCTTTGCCACCCCATGGGTGTGGGTGGTCCCATACTCCTCTTCCTAGGGCAGCCAGGACCCTGAAGCTCCTTTCCATCTGAGTTAATGCCAACCCAGAGGGTAAGGATGCCTGAAATCCTGAACCACACTCATCAGGGAAGAGGCTCTCCTTCATTGACAAACCAAGGTCAAGTAACCTTGAATGAGTATCTCCAATGTTTACTGTGTGCCAGGTTCTGTTCCAAACACTGGGCATATTTGACTTATTCAGTCCTTGCAGTGCACACACCCTTTGAGGCAGGTAGGATTACCATTCCAATTTTGAGTGGAACCACTAGCCCAAGGTCACACACTTGCTGGATGGTAGAGTGCGGCTCCAAAGCCTATGCTCTTCACCACTCTACTCCACCTGCCTCTTACGGACACCTGGAGGACAGAGAGCTGAGAGCTGCTGCTGCTCTTGAGGGTGACTGGGAAACCGCTGATGAACTTGCCCTTTCTGGGTTTGGCGGGACAATGAGGGACAGCTTTCGCCTGACACTGGGCAATCCCCTGCAATGAGCACACAGTACTCAACACAGTGAAGGGCTCTGCAAGTATTTATGGAATGAAAGTCAGACACACAGCTCCCCTGTGTTCTAACCCCAGAGCAGATGCCTTTAGGCTCATGCCAGTAGTTCAAGACCAGCCTAGAGTTCAAGATCAGCCTGGGAAACACAGTGACACCCCATCTTCACAAAAAAAAAAAAATTCTTTTTTTTTGGAGACAGGGTCTTGCTCTGTCACCCATGCTGGAGTACAGTAGCGTGATCATGGCTCACTGCAGTCTCGAACTCCTAAGCTCAAGCAATCCTCCCGCCTCAGCTGCTCAAGCACCTGGGACTACAGGCATGTGCCACCACGTCCCACTAATTTTTGTATTTTTTGTAGAGACGGAGTTTCGCCATGTTTCCGGGGCTGGTCTTGAGCTCCTGGGCTCAAGCAATCTGGCCACCTTAGCCTCCCAAAGTGCTGAGACCACAGGCGTAGCCACCAGGCCTGGCAAAAAAAATCGTCGAAAATTAGCCGGGCGTGGTGGTAGTGGTGTACACCTGTGGTCCCAGCTGCTTGGAAGGCTGCAGTGGGAGGACTGCTCAAGCCCAGGAGTTCAAGACTGGGTGACACAGTGAGATGTGTCTCAAAAAAAAAAGGAAAAAAGAAAAATTATCTTTGCTACTTTAAAATTTAAAAGTACCCACTCAATGAAATGGTCAAACACTGTGACTCTGAACAAAGACCAGAGGAGAAACCACACTACCACTTCCACCTCCTGAGGTGACCAACAGCAGCAGCCGGCCATGTCCCTTCCACATCTTTCTTCCACCCAGGCACACAATGCCACACCGCCAAAACAGATCTGTGGATGGCAGCCACCTGAGCCAAGCAAGCCACCCTCTGGGGGAGTTTCATGTGGGAAAGGAAAAGTGGAAACAGAAGCAGAGAGAGCTGTAGCCAGAGAGAAGGTCAAGACCACAGAAGCAAGGATGGCCCCAGGGGGCCTGGCCACCAACACTGCTCAGCTTCCTGTTCTTCCTTCTCCCCCAAGCACACTTATGAGTGCCTCCCTCCCTCACCACCGTTCGCGCGCGCACACACACGCCCTCCCCTGAAGAGGAGCTCTCAACACGCCTGTTTCTCAGAACCTGAAAGAACCCGATTCACACACTCAGGAAGAAGAGGCTGGTTCAACAGCAAGCTGGGGTAGAGGGCACCCTAGGCCCCGCCATCCGCTGTGCCACACCCTTACCTTGAACTCCCCGACAACCTTGCGCAGGGCACGATCCAGTTCCTCAGAAGAGACGCGCACGTAAGTGAAGTCGATGAAGTCACAGTCAACATCCTGGGTGCCCACGGTGCCAATGGAGTAGGTGCCCTCCTTCTTGTAGTGGAACTTGCCTGTGCTGCGGTGCAGGAGCACCGTGTGCAGCACAGCCAGCATGGCTTCCTCCACCTGTCGCCCCTCCACCGACACCTCCAGCACCTCTGAGCGACAGTTCATCCTGCACCCAGTAACCCACACCAAGGTGGGGAACAAGGATAAAGACAAGGGATCTTCACCCTACCCAAGGGCCACCCTGCAAGAGGAGCCCAGGTCAGAATGCTGACAAGAATAGTCCACATGTTATCTGTTCACTTCCTTCTAGGCTCAGCTCAGTCTCTGCCTCCACTGGCCCTTCTCTGCATTTTGGCAGCACAGACTATCAGAGAATCATCAACTCTCAGGATCAGAAAGCGCAAGAGCTTCAAAGTTATCAGTCCAAACAACAGGCCGGGATTCCATTTTACAACCTTCAGTGTAGTTTACAGCAGATGCTCACTGTGCAACCTTTATCAGGTACTAGACATCAAAGGCAAGCACGGCCCCTGCCCTCAGGCTGACAGAATGAAGGAAAAGCAGGCAACTAAACATTATCACCATGGAGAGAGTACAGGGTGCGAGTAAGAAGTACAGAAAGACGAATTTGATTTCCTCGGACCTTGAATGAACAGGTTAAGGCATTTGAACTCTGTCCTAAGGGCAGCGCACTGTGCCAAGATCAAATCTGTGCATCAGAAAAGTACCTCTGGGCCAGGTGTGGTGGCTCACATTAATCCCAGCAATTTAGGAGGCTGAGGCAAATCACTTGAGCCAAAAGTTCAAGACCAGCCTGGGCAACATGATAAAACCCCATCTCTACCAAAAATACAAAAAATTAGCTGGGCCTGGTGGCAGGCGCCTGTAGTCCCAGCTACTTGAGGGGCTGAAGCAGGAGGATAACTTAAACATGGGAGGCTGAGGCTGCAGTGAGCTGAGATCATGCCACTGTGCTCCAGCCTGAGTGACAAAGTGAGACCCTGTCTCAAAAATAAATAAATAAATAAATAAATAAATAACAAAGTAATAAAATAAACTCAAAAAAAAAGAAAAGTACCTCTGGCTAAAGGGCAAAGAATGGCTCTAAACTGTATTGGGGTCACAAACTACTCAGCGAAGTCAATGAAGCCATGAAGGTTGGGCTTTAAAAACATGGCGCACACACACATACTAAATCTCACCTATTTCTAGGGACACCTACATCCACAGACTCCAGGGTAAAAACTTGTGGATTTAAGGCACAAAGGCTGGGCAGGGAAGTCAGTTAAAGACCACTACAGTAGAAGTAGTTACAGGAGGCAGCATAATCAGGTGTGGGGGGTTTTCATGCCCTACAGTCCTGGGTTTGAATCTCACCTCATCTACATCTTGCTCTGTGACTTTAAGCAAATCACTCAACCTCTCTGAACTTCTTATCTGTAAACGGGGATAGTAGTGAGAATTAAGGTGACACATGTAAAATACAGTAGAATAGTGGTTAAAAACGATGACTTCAGGCCGGGTGCGGTGGCTCAAGCCTGTAATCCCAGCACTTTGGGAGGCCGAGACGGGCAGATCAGGAGGTGAGGAGATCGAGACCATCCTGGCTAACACGGTGAAACCCCGTCTCTACTAAAAAATACAAAAAACTAGCCAGGCGAGGTGGCCGGCGCCTGTAGTCCCAGCCACTCGGGAGGCTGAGGCAGGAGAATGGCGTAAACCTGGGAGGTGGGGCTTACAGTAGCTGAGGTCCGGCCACTGCACTCCAGCCTGGACAACAGAGCGAGACTCCGTCTCAAAAAAAAAAAAAAAAAAAAAAAACCATGACTTCAAAGTCATACAACCTGGACTGGAACTCCAGGTCTGCCACTTGCTCCATGCTCATGATCTTGGGCAAGCTACTTAACACCTATCTGCCATATATACAAGAGATAATAATGGCTACCTTGAAAGGGTTGAGGGCTGAATGAGTTAGCATGCATAAAACACTAAAAGCAGTATCTGACAAGTAGTAAACTTCCACTAAGTATTCATTAGTACATTGTTATTGCCAAGAGATGGTGCAAGGCTATACAACAGTAGTGGTAGAGGGAGTGAGAAGGAGAGACAAGAGACTTGAGAACCAGAACATAGTAAATAACTAAATACATGCCCAGAGGGAAAGGGAACTTCAAGTTCCTTATAACTCAGAGTATTCAGCTTGCAAACTTCCCCTGACAGGGAATTCACTAGCTCTCACAACAACCACTCAATGTTCAGGAAGTTCTATTCAGTTATTCTGATTTATTTATTTATTTTATTCGTGAGATGGGGTCTCACTCCATCACCCAGGCTGGAGTACAGTGGCACAATCTCTGCTCATTGCAACTTCCGCCTCCCAGGCTCCCATCCCAGCCTCTCCAGCAGCTGAGAACACAGGTGCACACCACCACACCTGGCTAATTTTTTGTATTTTTGGTAGAGAAAGGGTTTCGCCATGTTACCCAGGCTGGTCTCGAACTCCTGAGCTCAAGACATCCACCTGCCTTGGCCTCCCAAAGTGCTGGGATTACCGCACCCAGTCCAGTTATTCTTTCTACTGAAGAATCTGTCTCTTAGCGCTTCAAACTACTTTTAGTTTTAGTTTTGGTACCCAAACCCACATAAAGTCTCACCTCTTTTCCACAAGTGAGTTTTTATTTAGGGGCAGCTGTTCCACCACCCCCTCTCCCTTTCTACAGGCGGAAGGTCCCCAGTCCTCAAAAACATGCCTGTTCCACATCACATCTTATCTGCATGGAATCCTGGCAGCTGTCTTCTAAGTGTATTTCACTCATCTGGTTGACAGACGGTGAAAATAAAAAATATCTTTCAGTTTGTGTCTGCCCCCTTTTAAAATGTTGCTCAGCACAGGATACAGGGCAACAGTCTGTGGACTGCACAGAGATCAGGCCAGCTCTGCCTCTCACCTGGCGATCAGCTCGCGTCTACCTGTACTATCACATACCATCACGTTTTGTTTTTGTTTCTACCACTAGGCAGACAATTCCTATATTCTGCTTATAGGGCAGAGACTATATTCCATTCATCACTATAATGGTAATTCCTAGTACTTTGTACAAAACAACTGCTCAATTCATCCCAACCCAGGAATTCCAGGTCCTTCCAGGGGTTGCTAGATTAGTTTCTCCTACATGCTTGGATCAAGAATGAGAAGGGCTCTCTTGCTCGTTTTGCCCTCCAGTTCCACTCCATCTAGCAGTCTTCTTCCTATCTGGAGGACTCCTGGCTCTGGTCTGGCTCCCTTTCTTCCACGACTTCTCCCTCTTGTGTCCCACTCAATCGTTCATACAAGCCATACATCTCACTTGTGCCCCAAGCCTGGGCTCCTCCCTCACTCTACGTGCTATTTTAGGATCCACTCCTCCAAGAAGTCAGTCCTGACCAACCCCATTCTCCTTCCCACAGCAGCCACATTTGGTCTCTGAAAACCTTGTTGTCCCCTGCACCACACAGTGAGTAGTGAGCAGCAGGGCCCACCAGAGTAGGGTCTGGCAAGTCTCGTCCGTCTGGTCCCCCCGAGTTGCAGAGGTTAACAGCCGCCTTCTCCAGCTTGGTCGGAGCACAGGGTGCGCCAATTCCCACCTTGAGCGTAGAGTTTCGAGCACGAATTCCTCAAGCTCGGCTCATGCCCTTCTCCTCCTCCTCACGCCCAGGTGCGACCTCCGCAGGTACGTGTCAACCTCCGCGCGGCGCTGAACCACAAGAGGCCGGCTAAAAGCAAAACCAGAAAGCTTACTTGGCTTCATATCAAGAGACTCGGGACGGACGCAGCAAGGAATTCCCGCCCGGGTCCCGTATCCCCGGCCGCCACTACGAGCGAACCTCCACCGTCCACGTAATCAGGGAAGAGCGGACTCCTCGGGTGTCTCGGGGGCGGCGCCCCGCGCCCAGGCTGGCTGGACTCGGAAGCTGGAGGAGCGCTCCCGTTCCGCCGCCCCGGGGGGATGCCCACGCCGGCACAGGAGAGGGGGGAGACGGTTAAAACAGCTCCCACCTCCCCCAACCCCCGTCCGCAACCAGCCTCCGAGATGCCACCACTCTCCCGGCAGGCTCCAGACCACCTGGGTCGGAGGCCGAGCCGGGACCGGAAGCCGCACCGCCCCCCGCGCGCCGGGAGGCTCACCGGATCCCGTGGCCCCGGAGGGGGCACGTACCCGGCTAGCCGGGTCCTCGCATGCGTATAGCCGCCCACATCATCCGCCTAGTCACAGGAGCACACACAAATAGTTATGTGTTGCTCTGTATCTGGGGGCTGCTCTTTTCGTGGTTATGTCTTGGATTTTAAGATTTGATGGTGATGATGATCCCCCTTATGTGGACGAGTCCATTCAACCCACCAGCGAGAACGCTGTGGTATTTCGGCTGGGACAACTCACTTCCGCCATAGAGACTGGAGAGAAGGAGGAGCCCGATGGGCTCTCGGCCGCCTCCCTAGGCCGAGCGGAGTCATTGGCTGCGAGCCCGGCCCGGGGACGCAGACAGGGTCCCCAACTCAGTCCGGACTGAGAGGCCTGAAAGGAGCACCGATCCCCACAAGATGAGGGGCGTACCCCGTAGGGAGAGGTCCTGGAGATGAGCCCACACCGCTGTGCTGCAGGACGCCCAGTGGATGGCAAAACTTGAGTTTGTTCAATGTGCGTAACAGACAGGATCCCTGGCCCTCCACCCACACAGACGCTGGAGAAAGGGGCTTCATCTCTCAGTGTTGCCTTTATGCAGCAGCACTACTTGGTATTCCACGGTGACCAATCTGGTGACAGTCCTTCGGAGGCTAGTAATTCGGCCATTGCTTCTCTGTGTGACCCTTAACATCACTAATCCTTTCTGATGCTCTCTATAAACAGGGGGCTGTTGTGAGGATCACAGGAGATAAGTCATATGAAAGATTTTTGTGACCTGTGAAGTGTAATATGAATGCAAATATATTTTTAGTGCTGTGTAACTTCCTGGAGCGCATTTGGTTATCCATGTAGATTGTAAACCCAGAGCAGACAGGGGTTTGAGAGCTCCGTTAATGCACCCACCTCCAATAGCAGGCGCTCTTAAGATGTTACTTGGTGTTTACCATGCTTGTTTTCTGGCCACTGGGGTGCCTCACGCCTGTGATCCCAAAACTTTGGGAGGCTGAGGACGGAGCATCACCTGAGGCCGGGAGTTCAAGACCAGCCCTGTCAACATACTGAGACTCCCATCTTTAAAATAAAAATTTAAAAATGAGCTGGGCGTGTTGGCATACCCCTGTAGTCCCAGCTACTTCAGAGGCTGAGGTGGAGGATCACTTGAGCCCAGGAGGTTGAAGCTACAATGAGCTATAATCATGCCGCTACACTGCAGGCTGAATGACAAAACAAGATCCTGTCTCAAAAAAAAAAAGTTGGGCGTGGTGGCTTATGCCTGTAATCCCAGTACTTTGGGAGGCTGAGGCTGACGGATCACTTGAGGTCAGGAGTTTGAGACCAGCCTGGCCAACATGGTGAAATCTCGTCGCTACCAAAAATACAAAAAAAATTAGCCGGGTGTAGTGGCAGGCACCTGTTATCCCAGCTACTTGGGAGGCTGAGGCAGAAGAATTGCTTGAACCTGGGAGGTGGAGGTTGCAATGAGCTGAGATTACACCACGGCATTCCAGCCTGGGCAACTCAGCAAGACCCTGTCTCAAAAAAAAAAAAAAAAAAAAAAAAAAAGCTCGTTTTTCAAACACATGCTTTTATCTTCCAAAATGATAATAGATAACATTTATTAGGTGGAATGGAAATGTCATGATTTTAAATACCATATATATGTACATATAAATTTAAACCTGATACTAATCAATCCTGCAATATAGATGAGAAATTGGGCCAGGCATGGTGGCTCATGCTTATAATCCCAGCACTTTGGGGGGCCGAGGTGGGTGGATCATTTGGGGTCATGAGTTCAAGACCAGCCTAACCAACATGGTGATACCCCGTCTCTACTAAAAATAAAAATAAAAATTAAAAAAAGCCAGGCTTGGTGGCACATACCTGTAATGCCCACTACTCTGGAGGCTGAGGCAGGAGAATCGCTTGAACCAAGGAGGCAGAGGTTGCAGTGAGCAGAGATCACACCACTGCACTCCAGCCTGGCGAAAGAGCGAGACTCTGTCTCAAAAAAAAAAAGAAAAAAGAAAAAAGAAAAAGAAAGTGATTGGGGAGAGGTTAAGTAAGTGGCCCAAGGTCACTCAGTAAATAACAGAGCCTTGAATTCAAATCCAAAACTCTTTACCACTATGGGAGCTCTCTTTCTGGCTGGCTTCTTTAGCCAACTCTCCCCTATGTACCACCACTCTCCAATACACCCTCACCCACCAGTGGTGTCCTGATAAATGCTTCACACCTGCTCTCTGGTAGGGGTAATGCCTTGCTTTGTAGCATTTGCCCATTTTCTGCCATAGGTGATTTCAAGCTACAAGACATCAATGAATGCAGAGTCCAGAATGGATGGATGATTGCATGTTGATCGTCAAGGTTAGAATCAGCCCTTGGGGGCCAGTGCCAGCTGGCTCCAGCACACCACTGTCACCACCTCAGCCTTAGGCTTCCTCCTCCCATTCAGGTCTTCCAAACCTGGCTGCACAAGCTCCTCCTCTGGCTGGCCTTTCCTCCATCATCTGTTCCCTATCTTCTTTCCTTCCTCCCCACAGTTCTGCCCTTGTTCAGCCCTTGCCTCGTATCCCAGGTGTAGGTGCCTCTCCTGGGAGAAAGAGAAAGCTGCCTGCCCTGCAGACCAGCAATATTTTCGGGAAGCTGCACAAAACCAGAAAGCAATCAGGAGGAAATATTGAGAGGGAAGGGTCTGTAAGGAGCTGAAAGAGAGGGACCAAGGGAGGTTGGAACCAGTCCTGGAGTGGAGGAGGTACCAGAGCCCATCCCCAGAGACTGCCATTGAATAAGGGGAGTGACTGATCTCTCTGGCCATGCACACACTCCATCTCACAGCCCTTTGCGGCCACTAGCCTGACATCATCATCATCATCCTCATCACCACTACCACCAATCATTGAGCCTTACTAGGCACCATGCCAGCACTCACAGACCCTATTGTGCTGATTTTGCCAACTACCATTCAAGGTAGATACAGTTCACCTCCCCAACACCCTACTTTCTGATTTACTAATGTTATAACTGAAGCCCAGTCATACATAGTGATGCATAGTGGTTTGCTGTGATGCTTAATTTTACGTGTCAGCTTGACTGGGACACAGGGTATCTAGACAGTTGGTTAAGTATGATTCTGGGCGTGTCTGTGGGGTGTTCTGATGAGCCTAACATTGGAACTGGCAGATTGAGTGAAGCCAATTTCCCTTCCCGGTGTGGAGGGGCTTCATCCGATCAGTTGAAGGCCTAGTAGAACCAAAAGGTTGACCTTTCAGTGAGTAAGGGGAATTCCTGCCTGACTGTCTTAGAACTGGGACATCAGTCTTTTCCTGCTTTCAGTCTCCAACTGCCTTCAGAGAGCTGCTTCGCCTGCATCTCAAGACTGAAATGACACCATCAGCTTTCCTGACTTCAGATCTTAGGACTTGTCAGCTAGTTACTTACAATAAATCCCTCTCGGCTGGGCACGGTGGCTCACGCCTGTAATCCCGACACTTTGGGAAGCCGAGGTAGGCGGATCACCCGAGGTCGGGAGTTCGAGACCAGCCTGACTAACATGGAGAAACCCCATTTCTACTAAAAATACAAAATTAGCCAGGTGTGGTGGCACATGTCTGTAATCCTGGCTGCTCAGGAGGCTGAGGCAGGAGAATCACTTGAACCCGGGAGGCAGAGGTTGCAGTGAGCCAAAATCTCACCATTGCACTTCAGTCTGCGCAACAAGAGCGAAACTCTGTCTCAATAAATAAATAAATAAATAAATAAATAAATAAATAAATAAATCCCTCTCTTTCTCCCGCCACATATATACAGGGGAGAAACTCTCACTATATATAGTATGTGTTTGTGTCTATGTCCTACTGCTTCTGTTTCTCTGGAGAACCCTGACTAGTACATGCCCAAGGCCATGCAGCTGCTCTTTCCTCCTTCCACCAGTCTTTTCACTCATTTATGTACCTACTCCGGCACTCACCCTTTCCATGGAGCCTTGCCTGCTGGACTGGGGAACATAAGGGAGGCTGAGTCTTCTCACCTCTTTATCTCACATGCTGACCCACACTTGCCTCTTCTTACCTCCCTGAATTCTTACAGGGAAATTCTCATTGCAACCCTGGGTCTCAGCCCCTCTGAGTAGTCCCATCATGGAGGGGAGGGAGTGGTTAAAAAACTGGGACTGTGTGGATGAATTCTCTCATTCTATGCCCCTACCTCTGATGATCAAGACGTAATCGTCTGTTCATTCATTCATGCCACACATGTGGAACTGTCCACATGCCAGGCCCTTGTAATACCTTGTGATGCCAAGGGAGACAAGTCATAGTTCTAGCCCTCTGGGAGCTCAGAGTCTTCAGATGAGGTGGACCAGGAGATACCTGTGGGTAAGAAAACCCAACAAGTGGTATGAAAGAAATGGCAGCAGGTTTTGTGGGGACCCAAGAGGGCCAGGATGGAGAGATGCTGGTTGCCTGGAATAGAAAGTGACACATTCAGGCTGGGCACGGTGACTCACACCTGTAATCCCAGCACTTTGGGAGGCTGAGGCGTTGGATCACCTGAGGTCAGGAGTTCGAGACCAGCCTGGCCAACATGGTGAAACCCCATCTCTACTAAAAATACAAAAAGTAGGTGGGCCTGCTGGCACATGCCTGTAATCCCAGCTACTCAGGAGGCTGAGGCAGGAGAATGACTTGAAACTGGGAGGTGGAGGTTGCAGTGAGCCAAGATCATACCACTGCAGTCTAGTCTGGACAACAGAGAAAGACTCTGTCTCGAAAAACAAAAAAACAAACAAAAAACAGAAAGCGACGTATTCAGAGTGAAGAGGAATCCCAAGCCCTGCTCTCATCAAGTTGAGAAGTGACCAGGCACCAGGAGAAAACCAGGACAGCTTGAGAGAGCAGCAGGCAGCAACCTGAAGAGATGGCAGGGAAGGGGGCTGATTCCAGGAAGAAGTGGGAATTATTCTAGGAAAGCTCCCTGGAGAAGAGGGAAGAAAAAAGCCAGGGGGCACGGGGGCAGAGAGTGGAAGTTGAAGGTTCTGGGGTGAGAGAGGCAAGGATAGAGAGAGCAGACTTTTCAGCCAGAGCCCAGAGCCACAGCCGCCAAGCAGACAGGCAACTGGCTGAGACTCTCCGAGCCATGCCTGCAGCAAAGGCCTGTGGGGAGACCTTGAAGGCCAACCCAAGACCTTGGGAGTAGGCAGCTGGCTTCGCCTGGTGAGTGTGGCCTCAGATGGCCCCAACTCATCCTGGTGTGTGCCCAGGGGAGAGCTGAGCCCCAAAGCTGCCCCTACAAACCACCCCAGCTGCTCCAGCACTGACCCCAGTGGCGTCACAGGGAGTGACTCAAGCCCCAGCAACAACAATGAGTGGGACTGACGTAGGCCAGGGCTCCTGCTGGGGGCCAGGCTGGCTGGAAAGCCAGCACCCTGCCTGCTGACCCTCTAGCCTGGGCAGACTGCGGGGGTGAGGAGGACCAGCTGTCCCTCTCTGACATCTGCCCTCTGGATCGCGGGCAGGGGCTCTTCCACCTCCCACCCTTTCTGGGATGTCACTTCCAGCCCCCACCCTCCCTGACAGGGAAAATGTCTGGGCGGATGAAAGAGTGGCAGAGAGCGTGAGAAAGGGGCGCCTCCCAGCCCCAACCTGCCAACCTCACCAGGCAGCCTGGAGACCAGGACCAGGCCGGGAGCAGCATGTGTGCTATCTGTTCTCCTGAGGACCCAGAGATCTGTCTATGCTGGGGAAGGGTTGTGTGGTGTTTTTTCGTTTTTGTTTTTGTTTTTTTTTCTTCCAGAAAGGCCTGTGTTTGTCTGGCCAAGTTGGAGTAGGAGCCGGGCTTTATTTCTGTGCCTCCGTCCCTCGGGGGTGCGGGACTCTCTCTCCTTGCTGCAAGGTCTGTTCCTTTGGCAGGCCGTTCTGAGCATCTGTCATTCTTTAAGGAAGAGGATTCTGGGCGACTGTGCTTGCAAAAGGTTAGGGGGCTGTTTATCCGCCCCGATAAGGCAGTCCCTGTATCTGCCTCTGGGGAGCTGTTTTTCCGTCCCTGCTTTCTTGTGGGGCAGGGGGCATCTCTGTATCTGTCCTCATGGTATCCCAGCTACCTGGGGCCCTGGGGTGGAGTCCAGACTTCCTGCTTGGAGGCCTCTTTCCTCTGATGTTCTCCAGGCGAGGAGCGCAGTAACAGTCAGCACCCTGCCCGCCTGGCTTGCGGCTGGGCACTGCTCCCTGCTAACACAGCATGTACCAGGACAGGCCCCCCCGCACTCCCCTCCCTGTCCCAGCTGCCACCCCCAGCCCCTGTGGCCACGCCAGGCCTGATTTATGGTCCTGAGTTGGGACTGGACAGTGCCAGCGCCTGGGTCAGACCTTGAGGAGACCTCAAGTGGCACCCTTGGCCTGGCAGGGTCAGGGCCCAGGAGGAGATGAGGGGGAGCCAGGGTGCTGGGGAGGATGAACACAGCACGGGCCCAGGAGTGGCAGGCAGGAGATGGAAACCAAGGCCAGGGCCTCCAGGGGCCCATAGGTTTCCCACCGGCTCCGAGTCCAGTCGGGGACCTGGAAATGTGCCTCCTGCCTTCAGAATGTCCCTGGCTTGTGTGGAAAAGGAGACATTGGGGAGTGAAAAGGGCTTTTCCTCTGCTTTGCACTGACTCCTTCGTGTACCCACCATTGGAGGCTGCAGGTTTCAAAGTCCCACTGGCCAGCCTAGGCCAGACCAGACAGTCTCCAGCCTAGGGCCCAGGAAGAGGCCTGAGCGCCTGAAGCTGGAGCAGGGATGCAGGCAGAGGTCTGGGGCAGAGACTGCAACCCAGAGCTGAGCACTGGCTGCCCCAGGTAAGACTGTACAGCTGCCCCCTGAACTATAAGGCTGCAAGGCCAGGCCCCTGCAGGGCTGGATGCCAGATAGACAGAGGTCCCCCCCTTCAACCTCATCTTCCAAGGAGGCCCAATGGCCCTGGGGCTCTGCTGCAGTCAGGGACTTGTGAGAGAGGGGCTGGGGCTCGTCCAGATGTCTAAACTAAAGCTCTCTTAGGATCCCAGGTCCAGCTCACACAAGGCTGCCCAGCACTGCCTCACCAGGGCATGACTCTGATGTGCCTGGCACAACTGCCTCATGGCTGCAAAGGGATGTCACTGCTGACTGTCCAGGGACCACACAGCGGCCACCTGCCTCTGATGAGTCTCTCTCAGGCTGCCCTCTGCAGCAGCAGAGCTGCCGCCACACAACTGAACATGCTGGGTGCTCAGAGCAGGCCATGTGGACAGGACACCCCATTACAGCACAGTCACCCATGACCTTCAGGAGCTTCTCACCTCCTGGAGGCTGATCCTTGCCACACCCCTCCATAACCAAGACCAGGTGGCTGGAACCCAGGTGTGGAGCAGCTTCCTCCACACTGGCCTCAGGGAAGGGCTACAGGCAGAGACCCCCCCCCGGAGTGCAGAGCTCCCCCTCAGTCCCTAGACCTCAAAGCCACCCCTCTGCAGTCACAGTGGCACCTCAGGGCTGGGGAGGGGGCCAGGGACCTCTGGGCACTGGGCCCAGCGTGGGTGGGGTGGGGGAGACAGAGAGGCAGGCTTCCTGGGTCTCCGGTCTCCGCGTGAGGACAAACAGCAGACTTTGAGGCCTCGGAAAATCCCGCCTGGGATTCCAGGCCCTGCCGGCGTCACTGCCTTTTGACTATTGTCCCCGTCGGAAATGGGCCCAGCCCCCGGCCAGCCTGGACAGAGCAGCCATTGTGAGGCCCCATCAGGCTCAATGCCCCCTTGTTTGCCCTCCCATCCCATAGCAAGAGTTGGAGGCCAGTTCTTCCAGTTGCTGAGTGGAAAGAAAGGGCCTGCCTCCGGGATCCAGCCCTTGGGCGGGGCAGGGTGGGGCAGGGTGGGGCTGGAGGAACCAGCCCCCAACCCTGTACCCTAATTGCCAGGGTCCTGAAAAGGAACGACCATCAATGGAGCTTCTTATTTTCGAGGCCCTGGGCAGGGAGACCTAGTGGCTAAGTAGCCAGACGCACCCGGCTCAGCTACTCACAAGCCAGGTGACCTTGGGAAAGTCATATCCTTTCTCTGAAATGAATTATCCTCTTTTGTAAAAACAATAGCTAATATTTATTTGGTGCTTGCTGTGTGCCAGGCACTGTAAAAAACACTTTGTATGTATTCACTTCTGTAATCCTTATAGCAACTTTGTAAAATAGATTCAATTTGTTTTCTTATTTCTAGGTGAAAACACTGAGGCACAGAAAGGTTAACAAACTTGCCCCAAATCACACAGCTAGTAAGAGCTGGAGCCAAGATGTAAACCCAGGCCTCGGGCTCCAGGGTCCTTGCTTTCGCCACTCTCCCATGGTGCCCCTATGAAGTGGGAATAGCCAGGCTGTCCTCATGGGATGGCAGCTAGGGCTGGAAATCACAAGCATCTGATGAAAAGAATCTGCCAGCGTGGACCCTAATACCGGCTAACCTCATCCATAGATATGGAGATGCTCCCTCGGCCCCACTCCACCCCCAGCCCTGGCCCCTCCCTGAGCATCTGAGCAGCCCTCTTGCCTTCCCCAGCGGCCTGTCCTGTCCTGTCCCTACATCTGTCTGTGCTAAAGGCAGGGAGCTGGAGTCAAGTGACACAAAGGAGGACTTGGTCCAGCCGTCCGGCGGGAGATTTCCCAGCAAGCTCTGCTCCTAACCAGCCTCACCTCCCCACTGAACAGATGGGAAACTGAGGCTCGGTGAGGAGGAGGGCCTTCTCAGAGAGCAGCATGGAGTTGGAGGCAGGCTGCAAACAGAAGCCTACCTACTGATAGCCTCGTGTCATCAGGTGCGGGCGCAGCTGACAAAGCCTTGCTCAAGGGTCTGGGGCTGGGTGGGGCGATGCCAGGGATACATGTTTGCAAGTCCACAGCACTGCTGGGAGCATGTCCCAGGGTCGGGGCCATGGTCTCCCTACCCCAGCCTCATGTGGACTCTTCAGCAGGCCTGAGGCTGGACTGTGCTCCCAGAACCCGAGTGAGGGCATGTGGATGGGGGCTCCATGCAAGCTGTGGCTGGAGCACTAGGGAAGGCCCTTCTCACCCCTGTCCACAGTCGAGAGCCCTATTCTGTCTGGCCCCATCCAGTAGGAGCTGCCCCTCAGCCAGCCAGTTCCCAGGGGCCATGGAGGTGGAGACTTGGGGGTCCTGGGCCAAGGGCTATGAGGAACATATGTGAGGGCACTGCCTTCAGGCCTCCTACTGGGTCCTAGAGAAGGAAACAGTGAGGCTGGGCGAGCACTGAGCACAGGAAGGGTGCCATGCCTTGCATGGTGACCAATTCCCGTGGGCCTCAGGTTAGGTCCATCTGGGTCTGTTTCTTAAAAGGGTGGCCCCAGGCTACCTGCATTACAAGCACCTGGGTACTTGCTAAGACTGAAGTTTCGTGGGTCCCCTCACTTCCCCAAATCTGAGTCTTTGGGGGTAGATCCCAGGAATCTGTATTTTAAGCCAGCTGACTAAACAACTGATGAGCCTGGGGGGTTGGAGGGCCTACGTGGGGACACAGGCACAGGTAGGGACTTCTTGCCAAGAAGGTGAGGGCCACCAGATCCCTGGATCCTCTTGCTGGGGTGGCAGGAGAGTGGGGAGGAATGTTGAGAATGTTGAGAATGTTAAAACACTGAATACAGGCCGGCACGGTGGCTCATGCCTGTAACCCCAGCACTTTGGGAGGCCGAGGCAGGCAGATCACGAGGTCAGGAGATCGAGACCATCCTGGCTAACACGGTGAAACCCCCTCTATTAAAAATACAAAAAATTAGCCGGGCATGGTGGCGGGCGCCTGTAGTCCCAGCTACTCCGGAGGCTGAGGCAGGAGAATGGTGTGAACCTGGGAGGCAGAGCTTGCAGTGAGCTGAGATTGCGCCACTGCACTCCAGCCTGGGTGACAGAGCGAGACTCCGTCTCAAAAAAAAAAAAAACCAACACTGAATACAACAGCTACTACCAATTTGGGCTTACTTAAACCCAGCCCATGCTAAACATTACACACACACTCCTCTGATCCTAAAAGCTCTGTGAGGCTGGGTCTATTCCTGATTTATGGATGTGGAAATCAATAATCAGAGAATAATGTGTCCAGATTAGGAACTGTGACAACCCTGAGATCTGCAGCTAAGTATATTGCTAGAGTCCTGCAGTAACCCCTGGGCTAGTCGGCCACTGCAGGCCCCTGCAATGAGCCAGGCATGTCTAGTGGAGGCTTCCCATGTGTTAGAAATTAGTCTAAGTGCTTTGCATAACAACCTCGTGGAGCAGGTGTCATTATTATCCACCTTTTACAAATAAGTACACTGAGGCCTGACAGCTCAGACTGGTAACATCCAAGTTTCATCTTGAGCGACCCATCTCTTATGTAATGATGAGGTGTGCCTGGTGGGGGAGTGGGGAGCGGGCATCAGAGACAGACTGAATCCCAGTTCCAGCTACATGTCTATTTTTTATTCAATATATTAAATATATTAATCAGAAAAGTCACATACTATAAATCCAGGAAAATACACAAATATAAATGTCAGAATCTGTCATTTGTCTTCTTCCTAGAGTGACAGTTTATGTACATGTGGAAGAAGGGTAGGAAGAGAGAGCCAGCAAGAGGCTGGAAAGGCTGCCCAGGTGGGTGGGGCCCATCCCTTCCTCCCAACCCCACTCCCACCTCAAGCTCTTTCTTCCTGTATTTACAGCAGCACTGGGCTTATTTACAGCACGGCGCTATGTGTTAAAAACGGTTTATCTTACAAAAAACATAAAGGCCAGGGCCAGGCTGGGGGAATAAGACAAATCGTGGGGTCACCCCCATGAATGCATCCCCTCCCCAAGGGCTTGAGCTCCCTGCCAACCTCCTGGAGCAGGTGAGAAGGTGGAGTCATTCTGCAGCGCAGGCCCAGGCTTGGGGGTGCTCTGGGGGTCCGTGGACTAAAGGCACGTGGGGTGGCGTATGAGAGTGCACATGTGCACACGTGTTCCCAGGCGGGAGTCAGAAGGGCAGCGTGTCCATGAAGATCTTGTCGATGATGGGTGGAGGGGGCACCAAGTCCTCCAACTTGAGGTAGAATATACGCTGCAGGCCCTGGGTGCACAGGGTCCGGAGCTCGGGCAGTTTGCCCAACAGACGTGACAGGCAGCTGGCCGGCTGGGGCTCGCCTGCCACAGCTGCCACGTGCTCCTTCAAGCAGCTGGCGATGCGGTTCTGCAGCTCCTCCACCCGCCGCGGCTCCTGCAGCCCATGCCGGTCTGCGGGGAGTGTACGGGATTAGCCACACATCTGACAACCAGGCCTCCAAAGCCCCAGCCTCCCCAGGCCCCTAAAACTGCTGCCCCGACCACCCCTCAGGCTCTGCTGGCACTTCACAAAAGCGCGTTCACATGTTGGCCATTAGTAAGCATCATCACAAGTCTGAGAAGCAGTAACCGTCATTATCCTCATACTCCAAGTGAGAACCCAAGGCCCAGGAGGCTAATGACTTGCCCAGGGTCATAAATGGGAAATAAAATCCTAACCGAGGTTTTCCGGCTAGATCATTGGGTTTTTAAAATCTAGACTGTTCTGAGAAACCCAGCCTCAGAACTCAACACCCCTCAGCCCAAAGTACCTCTGATTGTGTTCTATATAGTTGGGTCCCCTGTGCAATTTAAGTGAAAAAAGGAACGAGGGTGGATTCTTTCCTTTAAAAAACAGAGATCTGAAAACCTCTGCATTCAACACCAGATTCCATCCTGCAGAACTACATTTACATAAAGTCCAAAACAGGCACAGCCAATCTGATCTGCACTGTCAGAAGTCACAGTGAAGGGCTGGGCGTGGTGGCTTATGCCTGTAATCCCAGCACTTTAGGAGGCTGAGGCAGGAGAATAACTTGAGCCCAGGAGTTTGAGACCAACCTGGGCAACATAGTGAGGTACCATCTTACTTTTTAAAATTTTTAAATAAAAGGTAGTGGTTACCCTTGGGGAAGGCAAATGACTGGAAGGGGCATAATAATGGGTTCTGGGGGGCAGTTATGTGCTCTTTCTTGACCAAGGCACTGGTTGGGTAAGTGTGGTTTATAAAAATTTACCATTTGTGTACTTTTCTATATGCAGCAAAATTGACAGGAAGGTTTTCAAAACAAGCCAATACCCTTGGCCAGGCGTGGTGGCTTACAACTGTAATCCCAGCACCTTGGGAGGCAGAGGTGGGAGGATCATGAGGTCAGGAGATCGAGACCATCCTGGCCAATATGGTGAAACCCCATCTCTACTAAAAATACAAAAAACTAGCCGGGCGAGGTGGCGGGCGCCTGTAGTCCCAGCTACTCGGGAGGCTGAGGCAGGAGAATGGTGTGAACCCGGGAGGCGGAGCTTGCAGTGAGCTGAGATCACGCCACTGTACTCCAGCCTGGGCGACAGAGCGAGACTCCATCTCAAAACAACAACAACAACAACAACAACAAACAAGCCAATACCCTAGGCCACATACATGACACCTGCAGTCTAGATCCTGGCAGTCTGGGACCAAAGGCTGTCTTGGGCTTTAGAGCTGGATGCAGCTGAGCCCATCTCCAATTCCTATGGTCCCTACTTTACTGTTGGTATGAGCCCGGGGCAGTGCAGGGGCCCAGAAAGTGCTAGATCCCAGCTCACCAAACTCCCTGGGACAGTGCCCTCCTGAGAACCAGTCAACTCCCTGACACCCACTCCCTTGGACCTGGTGTGGTGCTGGTCACTCACCGGTGATGAGGACAAGAGCAGAGAGGCAGGCGAAGGCAGGGACATCGACAACCAAGCTGTGCAGGGACCTTGAGAAGGCCAGGATGCTGTCAATCCAGTCGCCGAAGCCACGGGCACACTGCAGCCGGTGTAGCACCAGGCCTGAGCAGAAGATGAGCTTGCCCTCTCCTGGCTTAGACCTGGCAGGCAGATGGGCACGAAGAGCGATCAGGGTGGTTCACAGGCAGGTGTATCAGGGAAAGGGGCTGAGCAGACAGTCGGCAGCTCTCACCTGTATGCCAGGCGGAGGATGAAGAGCTCCAGGAAGGCTGACTCCAGCAACAGGTCCTGGTCAGCTGGTGACAGCTCAGCAAAGCCAGGGATCTTCTCCGCCCACTTGCGGATGACCTCCAGAGAACCGGAGAGCAGGTCGTAGAACTGCTGTACATCCCCAGCATCTTCCTTCCCAAAGCGGGGCAGCACCAGCTCCTGAAACTAGGAGGATGGTCCAGTGGGGTCAGCACCCCAGGCAGGGTCCTGCACCCACTGCCACATACGGCTGTGTCAGACACTTGGATGCCAGATCCTGGGAGTGGGAGTGGATGTGAGATCCTCCCCAGGCTCTCGCTTGCCAAGTCTCACATATTAACCCAGGGCTGCAGCTGCCAACAGGACATATTTTTCTAATTGGCCACCTGCCTGAGGGGTTGCATTTTCCCATCTGGTCAGCCCAGAGGGGGCTCCTCCCTTTGATCTATCAAACTGGAGGGGGTAGCTTTTCTTTCTTTCTTTTTTAAACTTCCTTTCTCATTCTATCCTTCTGGAGGGGACAGCTCTCCTAACATGCACAAAGGCACTGCATGTGCTCATAGCCCTCCCCGAGGCAGGCACGGGGTGGGACCTCACCTTGGAGTAGTCCAGTTTGGCAGTGCTGGGCCCTGAGTCCAGGTGTGCACGGACCAGGGAAGTGAGGAGATTGGCAGGGGAGGCATCTGGAGGCTGCTTGGGTTTTGAAGGTAGCCGGCCCCGCCGCCCCTTCAGGCTGTCTGTTCGGACAACTGCAAAGGAACGGGTAGGGGTGAGGAAGGAAGGGATCTGAGGAAGGGCCTCTCAGCCCAAGCCGCGCACACCACTGCTGAGATGCGCCCCACCGAGTCCCTAGGACCCAAAGCCCCTGAGATCCAAGGTACCCTACAGGGACCTCCCCCTGCCACCACCCTCACAATCCAGGCAGGTGTAGGCTGCCTCCCTCCAAGGCCTGGGGTTCAGAGATGGGATGGAAATAAGACGTGCCCTCCCCTGGGTCATCCAGGGCAGAAGCCTGGGAACCCTGCTGGTCCCACTCCAATCAAGCCTACCCTTGCCCCGCTGGGCTGCACCCCAGCCACATACCTTCCTTCACCATGCCCACCGCCAGGCACTTCTGGAAGCGGCAGAACTGGCAGCGGTTTCGCCGCCTCTTGTCCACAGGGCAGTCCTTGTTAGCCAGGCAGATGTACTTGGCGTTTTTCTGCACTGTGCGCTGGGTGGGGGGGCAACACGGAACAGGCTGTCAAGAGTGTGGGGTGGGGAGGGGGGAGCCTAGGGGAGAGGACCGTCCAGATCCTGCTGCCATTGCAGACAAAAGCACTCTCTGTTCACAGCTATTTTTCTAACATTTGGGTGGCAAGGGAGGGAGAGCTAGGGGGTTGGGGGGGAGAGAAAAGTCTTGAAGACATTGGGGGAGGTTTCTCCCTCTGAGGAAGACCCCAGGACACAATATCGGGGACCAGGGTCTCTCCGGCAGTCCAGACACCTGTATTTTTTCATGGGCTCTTGTCCGCCTGCCCTCTCCCTAGGGCAGACAGGAGAGGGCCAAAGGGCTGGGGGTGGGGACGGGAAGTTAAGCAGGCACCATCGCTGGGACAAACACACAGCCTGTTCCCAAGTCCACCCCTAGTCCTCAAGAACCAAACCCTCCGCCGGGATCCTTTCATCTCACGCCAGGAACATGAGACCGTGAGGGCACCCCTTCCCACTAGAACCTTGAGTTGGGGGAGGACAGGCAGAGAAAAACCAGAGGCTGGCCAGGCACCCCTGCAGCCCATATCTGCCCATATCTTACCCCTCCCTCCAGCTCTGTGCAATCCCATGGGCCCCTGAGTGTCCTGTCAAATGAAAGCTTCCAGCCCTGGCATCTATGGGTCTCCAGGAAGGCAGCCCACCTGGCAGGGCTGACCCCGTCCTGCAGGACAGAACTTAGCTGGGAGGAGAATCCAGGGGGTGACCACAGGTCCCAATGGGATGAGAGGCCAGCCTCTCTCCATTTCCAACAAAAAGCCCCACCCGGGGCCGCGCAGTACCTTGAAGAAGCCCTTGCAGCCCTCGCAGGTGCGGACACCATAATGCTGGCATGACGCGTTGTCCCCACACACAGCACAGCGGCCTTCAGTTCCACCTGGGGCCCCGCTCCGGGTCTTGGTTGAGGTCACGGGTGCATCCAGTATCCCCGAGCCCTCAAGGTGTGGAGAAGTGGGTGCCAAACCTGGGAAGGCGGTCGGCATGGAATAGCTCTCTCCCTCCCCCAGCTGGTGGGTGGCCTGTGAGGGGAACAACTTCAGGGGGCTCTGGGCCAGGCTGGGGCTGGGACCAGTGGGAGGACTGAAGGAAAAGAAGGCTGGAGGCTGTGGGGGCCCAGACGCTTTGGGCAGCTGCTCTGTCCATGCCCGCAAGCCTTCGTAAGTCTGGCTGGGCGAGAAGTGGCCGAATGAGCCATCCCAGGGAGAGAGCTGGGGCGGCTGGAAGCTGGGCGTGGACGGTGATGGGGCCGAGCAGGGGCTGCCATAGTAGTCAGAGCCACTGGAGGACAGGGCCTCATCCACTGGGCCGCTCAGGGGGCCGGGGTAGCAGCCGTACACCTGGAAGTCCTCGAATTTGAAGGAGGCAGAGGCAGGGGAGGTGGCTGAGGACGAGGATGTGGAGGAGGCCGAGGAGGAGGCTGAGGAGCATGGCTGAACTGTTCCCGGCAGCTGGTAGAGGAAGGTGTCAAACTCTCCTGTGTAGCCGTCCATGAAGGTGCTGAAGCTGGGCAGGGCAGTGGGGGCAGCGGGGGCCGCCTCAGGGCTGGCCAGGTCCATGGTGGGCTTGATGAACTCAGGGGTCAGGGGGTCGCTTGCCAGGTGGTCACGGGGTCCTGGACTCGGTGCTGGTGTCCCATATTGGGCTTGGATACAGGGCATCTCTGGAGAGAGAGGAGACCCCAGGGAGGGAAAGGAGAGTCAGTGAGAGAAGCCTATAGCCTGGTCTCAAAGTATTTGGGCCCCAGAGCAGCAAGGTGGCAGGAATCCCAGCCTAAAGATGGGACAGAGGCATCAGGACCAGAGCACCCAGGAATCCTGACCCCTGGCCTGAGTACCGTCTCGACTTAGATGCCACAAAGCCCCTGGGCAGCGGCCCAGCATGAGTGGGCTCCGTCAGAAGGCCAGCCACACCCTAGTCAGCCTGGGAACCCTAGGGGAGGCATCCAGCCAGCATTTCTCTGCTGGAACAGGGGGAAGCTGTGTTCCTCTAGCCCCCTGACCCTCCCGCCCCCCCCCACCCGGGGAAGGCGTGGTGGGGGCTGGGAAAAGGGTGAGTGGGAGAGGCAGCTCAGCAAAGCCTCAGCCCAGCTCCCAGGAGCAGCTCCCTGGGTTGTTTCGCCAACCAGGCACTTCCTGGGAATACTCCCAGGCACATCCCAGCCTCTGCAAAGCCCCTTTTCTCCTCCCCTCGCAGTGCCTAGGAAGAAAGACATCGTGGAAATGGAAGAGGAGCGGGGAGTGAAAGCCCAGTTGCCTAAGAAGGCAGCCTAACGCAGAGGCCTTAGCCTGTCCCCCATTTCCACCCCAACCCTGTACACTGAGCAAAGGCAGCAGATCCCAAACCCACCCCAATCCTGCCATCTGGGGCTGGGAAGCCACTCTGCACTGCCCAAGATGCTCCCAGAAGCAAAGAGGAAGGCAGCCTAGGCCTCCTCATCAGTAACCTGGCTCCAGACCTTTAAAGGCCATTTGCTGGGGACAGGGGAAGGGGGAGGAAGGAGACCACAGCCCCCTGGACTCCCAGGAGAATGGACAACAGTACCTAAAAAGAATGTTCTGCTGCCCCCAGTTATTTTAATAAGAGAACTGTGAGAGTCCAGCAGAAGACTTAAGGTGGCTATGCAGGAAGGAGAAGCCTGCTGGTGGGTGGGTGGAAGACATTCTGCCCCTCCACTAAATCGGGGTCTGTGCCCTGAAGAATCCAGGGGCTCAGGCAAAGGGGGTTACACACCCCCAGTCCCAAGGAGCCTGAAGAGAGCCTGAACAGAGATAGCATCATTCAGGCAGATCCTCACATTCACAGAATGGTCAAAAAATAACGCAGAGGAGGCTCCAGGACAGTCTCCCTCCCAACCTCCATGTCTGGGGTCTGCATAACTCCGGCCTCACCAGTCAAAGAGGGAAGCTGGAGAAGAAATCAAGCAGGAACAGAGAGTACCATAATCAAGGGGTGCAGTGATGGGGGTAAAGCCTGTCACCACCTCCTGGCCAAGAACCCAGTTAGTCCTCTCTGGTTCTAGCCTTTCTTCTAACTCCACGGGCCCTGAACAGGGCACCTCCACCCCTAGCCTGACATTCACATAACCAACCAAGACAACGAGACCCTCGTAGCTCGGGCCCCATCCACCCAGTGGCACCAGTCCACAGGCATGCAGCACCCTGCAAGAGGTGAGGGTGGCCACATCTGCCTACACTAGGACAGCCTGGGCAGGGATGGGCTGGGGGTGAAGGAGGAAAGACAGCAGTTGGGCAGAACTGGGCGTTCGTTCCTGCCTTATTCAAATCCTGTTTCTCCACCTGGACGTCCCACATCCGGATCAACCCCCATCAATCCCTCCCCCTTCATGCAGGTTCTTAACAACACAAGATATGACCTACATCTAGCCTCATGGGAAGGGGGAGCAGTCCCACAGGAGGAGGAAGAGGCGGGGTTGAAGGAGGGAGTGGGGAGAATCCGGCTTCAGGCAGGTCCTGGCAACAATGTGGCTTGCACCTGTTCTGCTGAACAAGCCTCAGGCTGCACCCTACCTATAAGATCCAACAAGGACTACTGAGGGAGGGGGCATAGCAATGATCCGCATCTGGAGCTGGAATGGTTGGGAGGTATCCTCTAGGCAGCACTGTCCCAAGACTCCAACACTGGCAACTTCTATCCAGGATCCCCAAGGACAAGGGTTTCCACCTCTCTTTGTCTGTCTGTCTCTTACACACACACACACACACACACACACACACACACACACAACCATCCAAGCCCCAGCGAAATCAATCCTCCCTGTGCTTCCAGAGACCCTGCCCCTGATCCCAAGAAGTCTCCTTTATTCAATACAGAGCAAGCAGCCCTCCACAGCTCGGTCACCAAGCCAGTCACTTCCTTCAGTGATCCGGAGGCTTCCTAACGCACCTCAGACAGAAAGTTCAGGGTGGGGAACCCCTGCCAAGTCAGCCACAGCTGAAAACAACTGGGGCACTGGGAGGGGGCTGACAGGCTGGGAGGAAGAAGAGCCTTTTGGAAACCCAATCCCAGTTGGAGTCGTATGGATCCCCAGCAGCACCAAAGCTCTGTGTACCTGTTCCCCCACGGTGTTGTGATCCCCATCCACACCCACCCAAGTTCAGAGCACCGTGCGCCCAGTTGGGCACCCTAGGAGACTGAACTAAGGCCAGCCGCCTGCTGGACAAGCCCCTACTCCCGGCGCCAACCCCAACTCCCTGTGGCTTCCACCTTGCAGGTAGTCAACCTCCCCTACCTCCTACTCCGCACTCCGTAGTTTCCAGTTTGACCTGGGTTCTCATCCCGTTGCACTAGAGCTGCACACTACACCCGCCCTCCTGCATGCTGGCCCCACGACATCCTTTCTGCCCGCGTGTACACCCATCTCCCTCATGCACCACCCCTAAAAACAGATGCACATTCCCCGAAGGGAACCTACCCGGCCGGCTCCCGCTGCCCCTGCCCGGACCGGCGCCCCGAGTCGCAGCCTGGTCCCTGGTCCCGTGTGCGCTCCCGAAGTTCTTCTGTGCACTCCCCCAACTTTCGCAGCCTCAGCCACTGGGACTCCCCGGGCGAGCCCGACCCTCCTCTTAAGCACTCCGTGACGCACGGGGAGGGGCGGGGGCGCCACTGACGCAGGCCGCCCGGCGAGCTTTGGCCATACAAGGGCGCGGGGGGCGGTGCGGTTCCGGCGGGAGGCGGCCAGGGGGAGGCGCGGCCCGGGGAGCCCGAGGGGGCGGGGCGAGGAGGGGGGGCCTGGAATGTCTGCGCGCGTGACGCACGCGGGGTTCCATTGACGCAGGGAGCGCGGATTGTTTGATCTATAAATAGGTTCCTCGCGCCCGCCGCGCCCGCTAAAAATAGCAACTCCCAGGCCCACTAGGCTCCCCGCACCGGACCCGGGTCCCAGCTGGGGGCCCCCAGGTCCAAAATAACCAGCGGGAGGGCCAGCGCCCGAGAAGGGGCGCTGTAGAGACGCGGCCGTGGGGCTTCCCCGGACGAGGATCTCCTCACCCTCCAGCTGCTCCTGGGAGCCAACCGCGCCCGGTCCCTCTGGCTCCCTCCGAGCCCAGCCCCGCCTTTGCACCTTTCTGGAGCCCTAGGGTGTCGCTGCTGCCGCTGCTGGGCGGTCAGGACAGGCCGTGGGCTGGGACAGGCAACTTGGACACACCCTGGGGAGCCTGCGCCCTCACCTCAGCCCTAGGCGCAGCTAGTGCACAGGACGCGGCTTCCCCAGCAGGATCTCAGGCTGAGAGGCTGCCCCTGAGACGTCAGAGCCCCCTCTTAGTCCCTCCAGGCAGTCTCCCTACACAGGACCTTCTGGAGGGCACTGGTCGGCCAGGCCCAAGCTCGGGCCAACAGCTCCGGCTCCGCTCCACAAGCTGAACTTGGTTTTGCACCGTCCCTTCCCCAGCCCCTTACAGGGGGAGTGCACCCTACTTGGGAAATTACCGAATTTCAGAACCGGGCGGAGCCTGAGAAATCTTTTCAAACTTGTGCGAACTCTTCCCCATTTTATAAATAAACAGGCTCAGAGAAATAATGGCACTTGCTGAAGGTCACACAGCCAAGTAGTGGCACACGGGTGGAACCCAGGGCCACAGACTGCATCTCTAGGGATCTCTCCACGCCTCTTATCAATCCCCCTCCCCCTGTCCACATCAGAGAGCACCGGCAGCTCTGACCAGTCATCACCTGCCCGGTGGAGTGCGGAACAGTCCGCCAGGGCCCTGCTGGGCACAGACCAGGCTTCAGCCACCTGGAGCTTTCCCTGGTTTGGCCGTCACCCGTCCACCCTGATCTCTCCTGAGCCTGGGGAGCCCTCATGGCAAGGTAAGAGAGGGAAGGGAATTAAAAAAAAAAAAAAAAACCCACAAGGAAAAGAGAGCCCTGCCACCCCACTGCAACCCCCAACCATTCCCCTTCTTCCCATGTAAGTCAATATCCATGAGTTTCTGCTTCCACTGAGCCTGCACCCACCCACCCTGTTCTCACCTCATCTGGTCACCTCATAGGACTTCCTCTGCCCTGGAGGCTCTGCCTGCTCCTGATTTCCGCCCTCAACCCCCATCACAGGTTTCCCACACCCTCGTCTCCAGCCCCCGCTTCTGCCCACTCAAAGGTCCCACAAGCACCTCAAATTTCAGCTGTTCCAGACAGAGCCTGTCATTTCTGCACCCCCTGCCTGCCACCTAATCTCTGCTCCTGATGCCCCATTTGCAACTCTTCATTGTTTCCTGAAATTCTTTTTTGGAACATCTCTTGGGTCCTTTCCTCTCCCCATTTTTGTTTTGTTGTTTTTGAAATAAGGTCTTGTTCTGTCGCCCAGCCTGGAGTGAAGTGGCACGATTATGGCTTACTGCAGCCTCGACCTCCCAGGCTCAAGCCTCTTGCCTTGGCTTCCCAAAGTGCTGGGATTACAGGCATAAGCCACTGCACTCAGCCTCTCCCACTTTCCTACTGCCAGCCACAGCCCACGCCTCACTGGTCCCACAGACCAACTGCCTGCGCACAGTGACCACTCCTTGCCCACACCCATGAAGACTATCCAGTAGCCTGCCTATCTTCTCTTTCTAAAGCCTCACTGTCGACCACAGATGGAGCAGTCTTCATACAGTTGACCCTTGAACAACACGTTTGAATTGTGTAGGTCCACTTATATGGGGA